GTCATACTACTGATTTACTGATAGTCTCGAAACTCTACTTTAATGCGAAAATAAATACCGTTTGACAAGTTAAGGCGACAAATGTGACAGGCCCACAAAGTGTAGGATGATGGTGTGTTGATGAGTTGTTGCAGAAACTTTTGGGACAACAATTCAACCAGACGTAGCAACGTCGTTGGTGCTTTCCGCAAGTCCCCTTCAACGACTTCAAACGACGCTACAATCTCCCCATTCCGCCTATCCTCTCACCTTCGCCTCATTGTCGCTTTCTTTCGGCTCCCATCTCGCCTCTCTTCCTCCTCCTCGTCGTCAGGCCGCCTCGGCAAGCCCGGCGACCGCGGCGAGCCCGGCGTCAAGGGACTGCCGACACCGTTTCCTGGTCCGTTCGGTCCGTCCGGCGCCCCCGGCCTGTCTGGACAGCGCGGCGAGCCCGGCTACCGAGGCCCGCCTGGCGACCAGGGCCCGACTGGTCGGCCCGGCAGAAACGGTACCATCGGCCTTGGCGACGCGGGACATTTGTTCGCTCTGCATTCGCAGAATGAAAAAGCTCCAGAATGCCCTCCCTTCACCTCACCCCTCTACAACGGCTACAGCCTCGTCACGCTGCAAGGCGATGGCGACAGTGTCACCATGGACTTGGGTAAGTGGGTTTTTGATAAAGGTCCTGTCATGACGCCAGTAGCCAAGACGACCGGTTGGCAGAGAAGTGTCCGCTTCTTCCTTGAACTATGCAACAAATTGATCAACAATCAAAATAATATTTCAACCATTTCTTCTTGGAAGGTGGTAGATTTGGTCTGCAAATACACACGAGAATAAACACATTATAACAAACGGCACACACTTCAGTCAAGGCTAATCCCCCCTCTGGCGAATCACAAAGTTGTAATGTGGCTCGAGTTAAGAGAAAATGGGAAGAAATGCAAAAAGTTAGCTTTAATCCACACTAACTCAACGTGGATACTGTCGATATAACTCCAAATTGACACTATTCTAAAGCAACCAGGGTACTGATGGCCACGAAATAAAACCGTTGTCAATGACAACATTATGTTATTTCTTCGTACGAGATAATCTCGGTTCATCAGGAAGGGGGCATAGGTTGGACAAAAATGGGGCAAAATGAATAAGAATCTAAAATTGCTGATGGTCTGGAAGCCGACTTATACCAAAACTAGGGTTAAATGATTTAGTGGATTCACCTCAACCAATAACACTGCGCAGCACTCGAATGCACCGATGCAGCATTGCGGTGAAGGCAAAAACATTACAGACCTGTAGATACGGTCAGAGGTTTCCATGGAAGCAAGGACTACTGAAAAGCAGGACTACTAATTATGTGGCTCCGAAGAGAGTGGGGTGAATACTGCAATCTATTCGAGCATGAACTCAGCCTATTTGGACAAAATCCCAAATAGTTTATGTCGATTTTGACTTTTTATAAAAGGGTTTAGGATTGATATGTTCGTAAGTCAATCTGTCCATACATTTTGAGTTTACAATAGCAACTAGGTCTACGCATTCAATGAGACTTTTCACGGTTTAAGCGAAAACCGGCTAAACCAACAGTTATTCATTCTCTTGTCAAATGCAATCAGAGAAGGAGCTAATTCTTTCAACAGGTAAAAGCTAGCACAAAGTCAAGAAGACTAACCGGCTCCACCTTACATGCCAAATATAATGAAAACAACAAAAAAGCACTGAAGACACACTGACAGGTATAGCAACTCCGAGTTTTGACTTGGGATTTTATACCCCGAATTACACACGTACACGCACAAACATTTAGTAGTTGTCATGATTCCCAGCATCTGGGAAAGCAAGGAAATGTGAAATTGAATGGAAACGTCAGCTCCACTCATATCATTGTGGGAAAATTCTTCTTCTACCAGTCCTTCATCACCTTAAACGAAATTTGGTGAATACATTTCATATTACTTAGATCTTAGTCATCACACATTCGAGTCAGTATTTTTATGCTCATGTGT